ACTTGCCTTAGGCAGGCTTGATGTCGGGAAAGCGATCGCGTTAATATGTCTAATAAAGCGTTTTAGAACAGCAAAAGAACAACTAATCGTCACACAATGCGAATAGCGTATCGAGTGGGTCATCCAATGCTTCAACCCACTGCAAAAGCTATACAAAAGTATAGTTTAGGAGCACAAAAACTACACAAAAATATGTAGTGTAGGAGCAGTAGAAAAGCTTGTTCATCATCTATTAGCTGTGGCGCATACCCACTTCAAGCATGAGTCCTCATCGTCATCAGCCGCTGCATGCACAATTGGCACAAAATTCCTTGCGAGTGTTCAGCGGATACCATGCTTCTCAGGAGAATGACGAAGGATATAGCATAGCGAATGCCGGCCTACTACCCACAAATTCTTATTGTTAATGCCGTTGTGGGTATCAAGCAAGTGTGCTTGCAGCAGTTACCCAAAGAGTGTTTAGAGAAGGCTCTGAAAGGCCGCCCTTCTAGCTTTCGCTGTGACTGTGCTGCGCCTCCTGTGTCCTGACTGTGTCCGCTCTAGAGCGGGTATGTGCCACAGGGGTTGCGAGATGGGAGATGGCGGTACTGGGAGTGTTCACTAGATGGACGCATGGAGGGACTGACAGACGGACGGATGGATGGACGTGCGGAAGCACGAATGCACGGACAGACGGGTGTATAAACGGCCGCATGGACAGACGACAAATGCATGAATTGACGCATGGATGGTCGCGCGGACGGACGGAAGCAAGAACGAATGGCGCGGACGGACTTCGCCCCACTCGTCATCACTCACTCCGTGGATATGCTGCGATTTTGTGTGTGTGGGAGCGGTGGGGGGGGGGGGGGGGAGTACGCCGCAAGAATCCCAACAATTTTAATGCCTGTTGCTGTAATGAAATCAATGTGACTGTGCCAATACGTGGACGGTGTAAGGAATGCTGCGTTTGTAACAGAGAACCAGAAGGTGTCGGTACCATGCTCTTTTTTGTGAAACGCATGCGGACACTGCACGCTTATTTGCATATGTGATTCACGGCACCAGTTTTTCATTTTCGTTAAGTATTTTCGTGAAATGACGATATGATCGAAGCTTGTAAGTTCCCTATATATCATTGGATCATCAGCGAACAATCTGATGGAGGAAGCGACGGCGTCGGAAAGATCATTTATGAATAATGAAAAGAACAAGCGGCCCAAGACTGAGCCCTGAGGGACACCCGACGTTACGCTAGCCATACCAGATTCTGCGCCATTTACCACGTACTGAGAACGCAAGCACAACTATTCCCGAATCCATGTCGACACCTGTTCGTAGATATTAAACCAACTTAGCTTACACACAAGCAGCCGGAGGCGTAGCCAGGAGGTAGCACACCGGGCACGTGCCCCGCCCCCCTCCCTGAAATTTTTTTCGCCATAGCATGGAGAGCGAAAAATCGCCATTTTCAGGGGGTGCCCCTCCCGAAATCAAGGTAGTGACCCCCCCCCCCCCCCCCCCCGAAAAAAAGTTTTGGCTACGCCCGTGGTCGAACGCTTTCTTGAAGTTATCGAGTAAACGCGGGAGCATTCATCCAGTGCACTACAAACTTCGTGAACAAGTTCCGTTAATTGAGTTATGCAGGAAAACCTTCGCCTAAAACAATGGTGTATTGGATTAAGAAAATTTTGATTGGTACGGCTCCTCCGCCTGTTGGAAAGTTTGTTTACACCTTCGATAGCTGCTGGTTTGAGCTCATCGTGAATGCTTCGCAGCAGCACGTCCGCAGTAATATTGATATCGGCCGCTGCGGCAAGTCTCCTCGGAGACCGCTCTTTATCGATGGAGTGGTGATAAGCGCGCGCTTAGCATAGCAGATCTGAATGCACTGCCCTGTTTATTGGGCATCACGCGACCGGGGCGAAACGTATCCGACACGTCGGCGGGCTTCTTCAACCCGCCAGAGAAACAGACGCCCTCCGCGAGTATTTTGATAGCTGAGCTCGTTCGAAATGTTGGGTCCTGACAGGGAATAGGACTTTTCTAATATACTGAAACCTCCGGAGGAGCGCGGCGCGACCAACATTATTGCGATTTGTCATTTTACAAGGTGGGCAGAGCAGGTGACTGGCGTCACTATATTTGTGCGCTATGTAGTAAGTACTCCTCGGATTAGTGCCGAAAGAGCGGCCCGATGTGTCGGTGTTCTCGTGTAACTTTACGAAGCCGCGGTGGCCAAGGCACGTTGCCGCTCGCACAGCGGTTTTTGCGCGGCGGCGCATCGGAGCGGGGCGGCCTCCTTATCATTGCTTGCGCAAGCACCCGAGGAGGCAGGCAGTGAGAGGCCTTATCGACGCGCTGCTTTGCCGACGTGACCGGCGGCCCGACCGCGATGGCGTCGCGGATTACTCACGCAGGCACTGCGAATGTTCGTTGGTAGGGCTCCCTTTCTCAGATAAGCGAGGTTGCCACTCGAAAAAGGGCAGATGCCGTCGCGGGGCTGAGCCTGCACCGAAACAATTTGGCTGGGGCAGTTATTGCGTTTCAATGAAGCCTAAAATGATGTTAATGGTAACCTGCTAACGACGGAAACACGCCATGGAAGGCTAGCTTAGCTGTGAAAAAATTTTTTTTGCAATCAACACGATGACATTTAAAAAGTATCTATATATAGCTGGCAGCATATATAGCTCTAAATGTATTGCATAAATGTTCACATGTTACCCCCATCAGTTAGGCCCTGCAGAAACACCATTACATCAGAATATTTTAATTATTTATGCCTGTGGTACCACCTATTTCTGGGATGCACAACTACCTATGTGGCGTTGTAGGCAATGGCAATGCCAACGTTTGCCTCCTGATGTGTACGGAGAGATAGTATGACACATAAACCCAAGATTCTAGGACCCGGCTGTGTGCCAGGACTGTGACGGCACTCGGTTGCTTTCCTGGACACAAAAAAGTCGCCACAGTGGGCATTGCAACAACGAAACTCTTTTCGATGTAAATACCGGATATGCGAACCGTAGGAGCTATGCTAACATTAACACCTACACTAAAAGAAACTTTAACTGAAACGCATATCTTCTGAATATCACATAGTTCAAGACTATCACCCATATCTTTTGAATATTAAAAAGTTCAAGAAATGTGTGAAATGGGCATTGTTGTTTCCATCGTGATCAGGGGTGGATCCAGCCACTCATTTTAGGAGGGGGGGCTCACTTGAAGTAACACTAGAGAGGGGGCCGGGGTCTGAAAATTTTTTTTGTTTAGCAGCACAAAAACCTTATCATATTGTAAATGCTGTTCTCTTCATTTTTCCCCATTGGTAAGTGAGGTGGACGTCAAACACTGAAGAGAAGGGGGGGGGGGGTGCGGATCCAGTTTTGGGGGAATTGGGCGATCGCCCCCCCCCCCCCCCCCCGCCTCTGGATCCGCCGCTGATTATAATTGGCACTGTTGATTTCAATATAATTACTTCACCAATGAAGTAATCGGCTCAGAGGATGGGCAGACAGTTCACGCCAGAGTTAAGGCAGCTTGAGGTCTGGTTGCTATAGGGGGGGGGGGGTAGCCAGGACACGGGGCCCGTGTTCCTTTTGGTCTGCCAGTGTAACACATGGCATGAAGTATCTGCCTGCAATGCTGCCTAAACTCTAGTGAATTTTTCATTCAAAAGCAACATAAGTAAGGGCACACTATGTGATGACCTCATAGCCTGATGCAGAGGGCAGTTGTTGGTGGCCACGATTCCATTATTCAAAACATGCATGTTACTCCTACACAGCTCAGGGTCAATTTAGGCAGAACAGCAAAAAGTGCATTAAAGTCTATTGTGCAATTTCAACCAGAAGGGTATTGTTTTGTACATATGTCTAACCTCGTTAAAATAAAATCCACAGTATTAGAAATGCAGTTTTCTTTTTTTTTTTATCACTGAAATATTGAAAGGTTAGAACCCATTTAAAATAGAGTGATTGTTCTAAGCTGAAATCAAAATTCGAATAAACAAAACTGCATACTGTGCTTAAAATTCATAGGTGACTAGTGTGCTATTGCATTATTCAGGCATGCCTTCAAGTTTAAGCAGCAAGAATGGTTCATCAAGGAATGCTTTGCGAAAATGTAGTGTGCAGTATGGCTTTCTAGGTGCCACAACGACGTCTAGGCCAGTTTTGCCCAAAATTAGAGTTGCCTATCCAATAATACCACTATGGATTTAGGTATTTTCATCAGCCTTTTTGGTAACACAATGCACTAGAAACCAATAGTAATTGTACTGCAGAGTAGCCATTGCATGTTTGCATACACACTACCCATATGTGTAATTCTGTTGTTTTGTTATGCTTGCAGACTAGTAGACTCTCGAGAAAGAATACCACTGTATGCCATCTTGATTTACTTACACAAGTTTTTTGGAATGTTTTGGGCAAAATGTAGAGAGAACTACATTCTTGCCACCACGTGAAAAAAAGGCTAAGATAATGAAGCTGTAAATGAAAGGATTCTGGTGTCGCGCTGCATGCACCATGTTATGTGGTATTCTAAGTCATGTGCTTTTCGCACCCACAGAGACCTATGTTCCAACTAAAATCTGCACAAGGCTTGTTAGGCACCGAGCCATGTTAATACCTCTGGTCGCAACACCATGCTAACATAACCTCCAGCAAGACCTTTGGAGCACTGTTGCCTTCCAGTTGGGTACAAAACTTGCCAGCCATCAGAAGAATTTTGTCAGGCAGTCCTGTGCATGTGTGGCCAGGTGTCGTCAGGCTTCAGTGAATGTGCACACACTTTTCTTTTGAACAATGTTGGCTTGGGCCAGTTGCTTGGGTTCCATGTTGGATAACAAGTGCGTGCTATGGATAAAGGGGCAAACGGCACAAGTGCTGGCAGGGATTGTCTGTACATACCACTTATAGCATAGTGTTGCAAATGGAGCATGATGCTAGGTGCACTTGAAAGTGGACACGTACATCAGTGTAAAAGCATGCTTTTCTTTCTTGATGCAGCGACTTCAGCACCTTACCCCGTCCAGCTTTCCGTGGCAGAAGATCGCATGGACAACAGTAGTGATACAGGCGTATCGTCCATGGGATCTGAGCGCGTGCCTTCTCTCTCCGAAGATCACGTGAGTCCATCTTTGCTGTTTTCATTGATGGTTAACAAACAGGCCGGCCTTGAGCTTGGTTTGATGGCTCTTCAAGCACATGTCTCGTTCGAAGAAAAGCTGTGAGCCCTCTGCTCTTTTCCCTCATTGTATATGTCGGCATTGGGCCTTAGCTGTTCGAGCCTTACATAAGTTATATCTCAACTATTGTAGCCTGCCCTATCAGATACTTTCTATTGTATCTTTTCTGCAAAATGTGGTGCATTTTAGAAAAAAGTCAGGTGGGCATGCTTGCTGGCCTTACAGCTCTCATCTGAAAGACTCTATCTGTATTATATGTATACGTATATGTCCGGTCCTCCAACTGAAACATCAAGAAAACATTGTGTTTTTCGATGTGTGTCCTCTTTTTATTTGTGTGCATATATATATAAGGTATACACCTCATTCTCTTATATATATATATATATATATATATATATATATATATATATATATATATATATATATATATATATATATATATATATATATATATATATATATATATATATATAGGGTCATTCCATCCCAACTGTCCCAACCTTGTCGCTCGACCATTTCCGATTTACTTGAAAAAATTCAGAACTCTCTACCTAAAGGAAAAAGTGTTTCCCCAAAACATTTTTTGCAAAAAAAAAAAATTTCCAGTATCGCAAGCCTCATTTGAAATGTTCTTTTGGAAAGCTTGAAACCATAGCTCGTAAAACATGTTGCCAAAAAGAAAAGTCCGTTCTTCAAGACAAATTTTCACCTTTAGAACAATGGTTGGCATTTTATTTAAAATAACTGTTAGGAGCTTTTACGCTTTCGTGGATTTTCTTATGTGGCCTCTAACATGAAAAACCTGGTCCATATTGGGGATTTTTTTCATAGAAAAACAAAATTAGGGGAATTGGGATAGTGGACATTAGCATGTTGCTAGAATGTTTTACTGAGAACCAAAAATACTTTCAAGCGTATGCAGTGCGAAATAAATTGTACAGCTAGCGACAAAGTCCCAAAAATGTTCATTTTGGCACATCTTCGGTTGGCACATCTTCGGCTGTTAATTCAACCATGAGGTGGTTCTACTAAACATATGCGCAATAGCAGATTTAGTAGCAACTTTCATTGGCTACTCACTCAGAAAGTTTTATCTAGTTAATTTTTGTTTTAATCGAGAAAAATATATTTGAATTTGTGTGTTATCATTCTCGGGGTGTGGGCGTGTTTATATAGCCGTAAAAATGTGTTCCAGCAGTAAGTACAAGCTTCACGGACGTGGGGGATCATCTGGACAATGTAATCAGCTTTGCCTGTGCCTATTTAAATTATTTACAAGGTAGTATTACCCCTAGTTAACGAGAAACACGGGATTTACTAGACAACATTTAACCATGTGCTGCCGTCCAGTTGCAGCCTGCTTATAGTATATATATGCTTACGCAGCACCGGGAAGTTGTACCCATGTATACCCAAACAGGCTCGAAAGAATGTGCCACACTCGCCACCATGGCTACTGGTGGCGCTGACTGACACTCCCACGTTTAAATTCACATATATAACCATAAAGTGGTTGGGGGGATAGCCGCCGTGGTAGCTCAGTGGTAGAGCATCGAATGCGTTATTTGTAGGTTGCAGGTTCGATTACTGCCCAGGGCAAGTTATCTCTTCACCCACTTTTCTTTCTGCTCATTTACATCACTATTTGATCTAATAACTTCCCCTATACAGCCTTTGGCATGAGAGCTGTAGGGTCTTTAAGAGGCAAGATGCACTGGAGATTGAAGTCCACACAACAGTGGTGTCAGCAAGCATGCACACCAGCCTTTTATATATATATTTAATGGTTTCAGTTAACTCTAACAAAATTCAATTTTTTGGTTGGCCCTCTATTCTTTCAATTTATTAAAGAGCCTCCTAATTCAAACTCCATCACTCGGTTAATTACTTTCTGCAGGTTCATACCAGAAAATATCTGCTGCATTCCCACTAATGTTTAAAAATTTGTGTGCCTATGTAATCCTAACAGTCCAAAACTGAAAAATAAGCACCTGAGGCCTTCAAGGAAAAAGGCTTTGCAAGTAAACAAATGTCTGAAACGAAGAACATGCATGGTAAACCGTGATGCTTCTCAACTTGTACAGAGAGCTTTGTACTTAAGGCGCATACCTATAGCAGTGAAGCAGTTAACAATTCACAATTTCTTTATGATCAGCAGTAAATGGCCAATGAAGTTGTGGGCTTTACACCTCTGCTTTCTGTTCACAGTAACATGCAGTTAGAGCTTAAAAACACTTGAAATATTTTTAAGTGTAATAAAATCAATGCCCAGTCATAATGTATGGGGTCACCTCACGCTGAGTCATCTATCTAAGAATTTCTGATAAACCAAAATTCCTGTCTTGATAATTCAAACAAAATTCAAAAGTACCTCTGAGTTTGAATTTATGAGTCGACTGTGTGTGTGTGTGTGTGCGCGTGTGTGTGCACGTGTGTGCGTGCGTGTGTGTGTGTGTGTGTGTCTATATACATACAGTCGATCCTTGGGTATATTGAACTCAAAGGAGATCGCGACAGTTTGGATGTATTGATAATTCAAAATACAAAATATGCGTATTTAAGGCCTAGATTTAAACATTTCTAGCTTCGGAAATTGTTAGCACAAACATAACGATTCACTCACAGTGTAATGAAGAACAAGGTGCGAGTTGCAAGTTATGGCACTTTATTTCGCATGAATATAATCCGTAAGCTTGTCTTGCTTCTTGCGCGATGTCAAGCTCCAGTCATCTGCAATATTATTGAACCTTTTCAAATAAATGAATTCAGCTCCTTCGGCCTCAACAGCATTGAGTGATGCAGAACGCCGATGCAAGCTTTGCAGCGCAGCAAAAGGTTGGTTAGCGGCGGCAGCGATGGTGTTGGCAGATACATAACCGCACGGGTACACTTCCGCGGCACGGGACATGGCAGCCATGATCTCACCATCAATGCATTGAAAAACAGCTACGTCGTCATCTGCACCAATGAAGTCGTCCACTGTCCGAGATGGTGCCAAGAAATGCTGATAAATCGCAGAATTCACCGAGGCACTGTACGCCAGCGGTCATGGTGCACCCGAAGTCAACCTGGCCTGCTAGGAAAGTTTACGACGATCATAATTTTTAGCACTACGTGTTGGTCAACGTTAAGTTCAACTCCCAAATGAGGATTTATCAGGAACAAGGCGAGAAGTGCACAAGTCCAGAAAGCGAAAAAGACAATGTTACCAACGTCGAGTTCCCACAGTCTACATGTTGACGGTATCGATGTCACTTGTGCCTCAATAACTGACACCTGCTGCTTTCAGCTGCTTCAATACGAAAAGCATGGCCTCTGGGACGTTCGTTTTAAAATTGAAAACGTAAAAAGTACGTCACGAGGTTGCACATCTCAAAGGCGAAGAAGATTTTCAGGCTCGTGTGCCATTGCGCACTAAGGAACAAAGAAGGGAATGCGAACATTGCAACGAGATCGCCGAGTCATTTCGCATTCTCGTTTTGGTGTTCTCAGCAATAAGGGCCAAACTCCATAAGCGCGAAAATGCACGCGACAGCGACGAGCGACGCTATGAGCGACGAAACATGGCGTTCGCGCGACGTGTCGCGGGGTAGTTTTCGCGCGATCGCTCGGTTCTCCTGATTTGGAAACCGTCGCTCATCGCCCGGAAGTGCTGGGCTCAAGCAGCCAATAGCGAAAAACCGGAAAAGACAAAGACATCATAGGTGCACGTGACCCTGCCCAAGTCACGTGGGCGCAACAAAAAATAACGCAATGTTTATTACGCATGTGCATATAAAAAAGTGCTGCAAGGCAATAATAAACACTTTCCGTTCCATTACACAACAATATATCTTATTTTTAAATTGGAAACCGCTCGCTACGCGGCTTTCTTGGTGCGAGTTGACGGCCTCATGCCAGCAACAGTGGAATTCGCTCGCCGAAGCCGTCGCGTGAATGGAGTTTGCCTGCGCGAGCGACTGATCGCGCGACGCCGATCTACGTCGCGTCGCTCGTCGCTGTCGCGTGCATTTTCGCGCTTATGGAGTTTGGGCTTCAGTCTTATTGAAAAACACTATGCCAGCACGTGAAGACCTGCTGATCGCGCATCAAACATACCAGTGCACTCGCAAGCGCCGCCCAAAGAATTATATCAGTGTGATTGAATAATACCGCCTTTTTGTCATCTGCACACTCAAAGTGATCAGAAATTGTGTGAATGCGGCCAAAAATTGACCAATATTTACTAGAAAAAATGCACTTTCTGGGCTTTGGCGTGGCACAGCGTTCGATGTAGCGGATGTCCAGCTGTGTGGGAGTTCGATATACGGGTGCACCGGTCCCATACTTTTTCATAGGAAATTCAAGGGGAGTTCTCAGGTGTTCGATAAAGTCAATAATTCAATATATCAGAGCTCTATATATTCGGGATCGACTTGTATAATTTTCTTTTGTATAATTTCAGCTCGAATGGTACCAGTGGAAACTAGGAGGGGTAGCTGCTCCTTGTGGTTCCAACTTGTGGGTTGAGTAGGCTGAAGGATGGACTAGCAAACGCAGCCAGTATGGTAGCAACATAGTCATGCATTCCGAAGTTATTTGGCCTAGAACATTCAAAATATGAAGAAAACAAATTATCAGCCTCAGTGCAATCTTTGGAAGGTCACATGTCCGCATTTCACTCGCCACTGATAGTGCTAAGTGTCAACAGTGGAATGTGCTGGAAAATTCCACATAGGGGAATCTTGCATATTGCTGTAGCCTGTTCCGTCCAGCGCATCGATCGTGCTGTCTCCACACACACACACACAAAAAGCAATGCTGTGCCTGATCATGGCATTTTGCTTATACTCTGGGCAGTTACGATTGGGCTTCCTCGATGTATCAGAATTTCCCTTTTTCGTGTTCCTGTGCTACCCCCTGGTAGGGGCCAGGACAACCAGCGTGGCCAGGACGAAATCCTCCGAGACTAAGAGGCATTTTGCAACTTTCGCATGAGGGGAAGGGCACATGTGCCCATTGTAAAAGCGTACTTGAGTGGGTGCTAATACTTCAAAGCGAGGCTTTGCCTGCTCTTCCCTATAACTTTGCATTATGAGGAAATCTGTTGTAAACCTGTTCTACTGATTGTAATTCAAACAGCTGTTGCATGACGGGCTTGGCAGCAGGCAAGAGAGCTGTTGCCAAGAAAGCCACATTCATTCAGCTGCCCGAGCATGGTGGACTGTTCTAAGTGCATCGATCTATGCACCAAATCATTAGAGGGTGTGAATTGACATTTGATTATTAGTATAAATTTGTAGGGTCAACGTGATAGCGGTTGATGTAGGATTAGGTTGTATGTTAGTGTATATAGGTGCTAGTAGCAATGCATCAAACTTCTTTTTTCCCCTTCTCGTTCGTGAAATGAAGGCTCTTGTTTTGGGGGCAATCTGTCATTTTGAGCTCCCAGTTATGGATTAGTAAATCTAGTCTGAAACATCACCCAATGGCTAATGCATATAATAATTTTACTTATTGAAGTGATGCTGTGCTCTTGGAACTTGATCAACATTTAGAAGTGTCCTTATTCTTTATAAACTAAAGCTTGTGTGGGAAAAAGCAAATTGATTGTCCCTTACATTTTTAGTGCATGCTATTTCTGGAACCGAAGTTCTTAAAATTTGGCTATTCAAATGGTGATGTTATTTGCCACATAAAGAAAACAGCAAGTAGCTAGTGGCACTGCATTGTAATTTGCAGTTAATATTTGCTGCTGTTCTTGTGCAGCAACATTTTATGGTTTTGTTTTTCGTAGGAATGGCTGGACTCGTGCTCAGAATCTTCTTCACATGCTGACGTCGACAGTGATGGCAAGCGACTGCTTGAAGTAACCTCGAAAAAGTACAAATTGTTCGGACGTCGACCGGGTTTGGTAAGCAATGCCAGCAGCTTTTAAAATATGAGCTGGAAGTTGAGAATGTGGGGTGGAAGCAGCACTGAATCGGTTTACTGCGAACAGGAAAGAAAATTTTTGCGCATGCCAGTTTCTTCTGGGTGTTGAAAGCACTGCACTAGGATGCAACTGTGGCAGCTTTTCTCACAGTTTGTTAGTAATATTGCAGGAGTCGCGTTGAATGCTCCATGTTTCTAGGGTTTAGTGTAGGATTTTTTTAACCTTTTGAGTTTTTGCAATGCACGTATGATAGTGGTTTTCTGTCCCCCAGTGTCTTTGCCAAATGGGGTCAATTTCGATCAGCCGCTTGAAATTTCGTACTGTAATGATGATGCATGCTCACTGGGAGGTGATTCCACCTCTTACAAGAAGCATTGGTAATCATTGTGCTGCCTTCTTGTGGAGATACAGAACTGATTTCTAGCATTAAAGTGTCTGCAGCAGTGCCAATGGGCATCACCCTTTCATGGTTTCGGTTTCACTCCTTGAACACAGCAGAGTGGGCCAAGCTTGATTTTTATCGGCACTCTCTTGCAGGGGTGAAGAAGTTGATTTCCATCTTTATTGGCACTACACATAGCTTGTTTATCACTGACTCGTAAGGTATTCTAGTTGTCCTTGAGTTCACCTAGTTTATTTTTATTTTATTTTTATTTTTTATGCAATACTGCAGGTCTTGGGCGGCTCAAGCAGGAGTAGTTTGTTGGTACAACAATGATAAAAAACCAGTTATTAAAAAATTGAGAGCAGGAAGCAATGAACAATCGAAAAATACACCAGAGAACCGAAGAGGATTAATCAGTGCATATTTCAAACATATGACACATAAGAAGGTAATGACCAAAAACAGCAAAGCAAGGCAGCGATGATCATACACAGTAGCTCAGATTATTACACAACTAGATATGGAAAAATCAATCGCAGGATAAAGGCACCGTTACAAATTTATTCTACGAGCTGGTTGAACAACTGAGGAACAATGTTTGAAAGAGCGGGTTCAAGTTCAAGCTTACGGTTCCAAAGCTGATAAAGAAATTTTAGTCTTGTTATTTTTCGGCAGTCCTGTAAGGTCATGATGTTGTTTGTTTGCATTAATGAGGTAGGTGAGTCATGTCAGTGGTGACAATTATATATGAACCGTATAGAGCCTCTCTAGGCAGCCACAACCTGAGATGCTGTGCGTTTGCCAGCAAAACTTGACTCGTAGGAGAGAACATAGACTGGTTTTGTGTGCAGATTGCGACAAGGCACTGTGCGTGGACCCATGTTAAAAGGGGCACCACGCTTTGAAATACTGTTGAAAATTTTTCAGTTCTGAGCGAAGCCAACACCAAAAGCTTTTCCTAATTTTTTCAAATCCTTTTTTTTTTTTTTTTTGACTTCGCTCAGTTTGTACATCCAAAGCCACAATTAGGTAATTTGGTCATCTGGTAAAGTGTTTCTCCGAAAAGTTTGTCACTCAGTGGGTTAAAATGGAACATACATTCGAACCCCTCTGCAATGAACGCTGCTTCAAGGAAATTTTTACTAAAACGAAAAATTCTTGGTTCCCTGTTGGTCGATAGGAGTCGATGCATAAATATTCTCGCCATAACAAAGTCTTTCTTCTGCTGTTCCGCTTCAACGAAATTTGTCGATGTAATTCCAAGCTCAAATATTTAATGCTGTACAATAAACACACCCTTGAATATTTCGATTCATTTTCAGACCATAAAAATACATCTACGTAGTCTAAAACGCACGTTGGCACCACCAGAAACCGCCACCGTTTACTGAGCATGGAGGCTACCATTGCTCGATAGCGCTGGCAATGACACTACCCTTCTTTTGCCACCGGCTTGCTTTTAGGCCTCAGACAATTTAAAGCTGGAGCTCGTTTCCTACAAGTTTCTAACGCTGCTGCTAAGTGCACTTGGGGAAGGATGCCTTTTCCGATGCCAGTACTTTTGGTTATTTTGCTTAGTCAGTGTGATCACTGGTCAGAGCGGCGGTTCGTTTGCGCTATCAACATAAGCCAGCCCCTACTAGTGCATGATAACAACAGCATAGAATAAGGCATAAGTAAGTCACCACTCCACAATAATGCACCTGCATCTCTGCATTCTCAGATACCTTTTAACGGCGGACAGCTGCTGGTGTTATCGTGTTAGTGCAACTGTTAGGTTCGTTCACGAAAGCTGTTAGGAGCCGTTGTTTCAGCGTGCTTTTCAACATGGTCCCGCTATGCATGTATGAAAATCGCATCTAGATGCTGCTGGGGAAAACGAAAAAAGGAAGCAGACGACACTTTTATTAGAATTTTAGAAATAAAAGGTATATTGTTTTGCTAGCTCAGGCCGGTATATTCTGTACGATTTTACAACGAAATTTTTGCTTAAACGAAATTTTTTCCCCGCCCCTTTAGTTTTATTGTAGCGGGGTTCAACTGTATTTCCTTATTCACAATTGCTTGCAAGGCCATCGGAGGGAGAAAATCAGTTAGAGGGATGACAAAAAAAAAAAGCAACAAAACTGAGGTTACAATTGGTACATTAAAACATAAGTACACAGCATTATCGAGAAACGTTATGAGGTAATTGTGAAATGCTTTGTGGTCAGACATGAATATAATGTGGTTCAGAGGACCATTACCTTATTTATTGATCTATTTGTTTTATTTATGAAAGAAAGACATAAAAAATAAAATAAACTTAGCCAGCCCTTGGCAGCTGTTGTCAGATACTTGGTCGTAGCGTAGTGCGGGACCATTCAGGCAGTGTGGCCACTTGTTTTCTGTTTTTCGGTTATGCATAGCGAGCCTCGCGTTGGGGTTCAAATACAGCAAAAAGCACAGGCTACTGATGTGCACTTTGTCGCCCTCCCTTAGCATGGTGACTTATGAGGGCATATTTGTTTCGCCTGAAGGCATCAGAGGTGCTTTCAGCAAGAGGTGATTGCAGTGGCATGTAGTGAAATGACCGCCTGTGTTTTGCACCAGGGAGACAATGACACCATGCTGGGCGGCTACGGTGGTGTTCCCTACTGCCAGCAGCAGCCACCCTCATTTGCCACCCCCTTGGGCCGCCTGCCAGGTGGGGCCACGGTTGCAGTGGTTCCCCCCAATGCTCCTACACCCAGCAGCCTGTTTCCTTCAGCACCTGAAGTGCCTGCCATTCCGAGGCTTGTCATCCGCCCCGTCGGCTCTCTTGTACAACACAACCATTCATACTCTGCGGCTGATGTGGCTGCCGCGACGGGTCAGTCCTTTCCACACCTCAACCTTAAATGTTTGTGTGCAAAAGAACAGAAAAAAAGGAATAGTGGGATATATGTACAGATAAGCTTTCATAAATTGGCATTTTTGATATAACATGGTATTTAACTTCTATGACTCAGCATAATGAAGCATGTTTATCCACTCTTTCAGTGATGAAAATATTTACTGCTACTGCAATGAAACACTGAGACAATGCACTAGAGTCTCTTTATAAAGGACTCAAAACAAAGAAATGGTCGTTATATCAGTAGTTTGTTGTACATGGGCTCTCTCATCAAAACTTGTACAAATTAGCAATCAAGTCGTTCACCCTGCTTTGTTACCTAGTGCTGACAACTATCAGTTATGTAGACTGACTTTCTCTAGTTTCTTTGGTGTTTTAAATGAGTTCTATATATCTTTTATGTCTGTCTCAGTAAATAAAACTGCCGTTAAATGGAACACATGTTCCTGTTCGCTTCTAGTTAGTTTTAAAGGGGCCCTACAACACTTTTTGTGCATGGTCAGAAAACCCTGCTGATTGGTAGTAGAAGCTCACAAGAACGCTTGAGCCAAATGTTATAGTGCAGCACGCGGCCTATAATTATAATTCACAATAAATTATCGGAGTCAGCTAACAATTGCTTTCTCTTCTCTCGACAAATGACAAAGGACGCTCAAAAACTACTCGTAAAAAGCCCATTTATCAGCCATTAGCTGATTTCAGCACGGCGCGCTTGGTCGTTGCAGAGATAGTCGCGGGAGGCCGCGACTTGTCCACGCGTGTATGCATGATCACACTGAAAAAGCTGCGCATTCGAAGAAAAAGAAAGTGCTGAACGTCACGAGGGGCTCCGGACATATTTTCTTTGCGCCTGCCATCCCTCTCTGCTTAGCTTCCAGCGCTTTCATCAGGACGAGAGAAGAGACAATGCAATTACAACATGTGACAAAGCTTTGTAACTCCACTCGCAATGGACAGATTCTTAAAATTTTTGCGGCATTGAATTCGTGAGGCAATAAGCTCTTCCAGTGAATCTATTCCATGGTTACTTAAAAAGTGTTTCAGGGCCCCTTTAAGGAGTTTCTGCTGTGCTAAAAACATTTAGTCACATCAGCTTCGTGTGGCTGACGAGATGGTAGCCTAAAAGGAGGCCAATAATGGGATGCTGTCATTTTGCCACTTAAGGGGGGAGGTGGGGATCGAAAGTGAAATTCTTTAGTTTTTGTCGTAGAGCAATGAAATTTGGCATGCTTACTGGAAACTGCGCTAAATGATAAATGACAAAGTTTCATTCAGCTATCTCCAGTAGTTCTGGCATTATAAATTTTTTTATCCATCAGTGTACTACCAAACTTGCCCAAAGCCTGGTGTGACAAAAAAACATGGTAGAAGCCTATAGTTGCTCTTATATTTTAGCCATTGGGATGGTTGATGTCGTGACATTCTGCAAATATTTTTATGACACTGTTTTTATTTTACAGAGAACATTGTATACATGCTCGTAAATGTGGTCGTTATCATAATGTGAAATTAGCTTAGGAGTAAAAATACTGAGGTAGTAATTAACAAATATGAAAACGTCACGACATAGAAAATTCACTGAGGAACACAATGCAAAAAACCACATGAAAATCCGTCAAGCCATAGTCATGCAAGCATCGTGGCAAGCTGGACAGTCGGGTCAAAACACGTTTCTGAGAAAACTGGCGTTAAAGTTGAACAGTCAGTAAAGGTCCATCAAAATGCCCCGGGACTGTAATACTTTGTGTCTTTGCTTGCGAGGGTCTTCTTACGTCCTTTCTCTTTCATTTTTTCTGCACTGCGTGCTTTTCGTTTTCTTTGCTGGTCTTTTTCTTCAGCTCTCTGAAGGGCGAGGCTAGCAGGTTTGATGCCCACGGACTTGCACATTTCAGTGTAGGCTCGCAAATTCCCAAAATTGTAGCGTGCAACTGCTTCATGTACTGTTGTCTCCACTGCGAACAATGAAGCGTGTTGGTCCTTTGAAGTCAGTGATCAAATAACTGAATGCAAGCTTTCCGCCGCATTCTGAGTTTTGTTGCCTTTGCATCGCTCCAACAGTTGCGGGTCAGAGAGACGTTGGTATACAGGCAGCAGAGCCTCCGCTACACGTTTCGACAGGTTATACCTGTGAGGTGGTGCTGGCTCCATTTTGGCCTGTGCTGAACGATGTTTGCACCAGCTATCAGGGCCAGGTGGGCAGAGCTCATGGTGAGGCTCGTCGTCGGTGGACGTGACATGATAAAAAGTGGCCATCACGGCCCTTTGCATGTCAGCGACACTTGTGTGTTTTCGCAAGGTTAACCCGTAGTAGCTGGTCAGTTTTTTAATCAACTCCTGCGTAAGTCCACCTCTCCCACCCAATGGCTCCCCTTTCTTAGCTCTTGTCACCAGTGTGCGGAGAGCGGTGCCCATTCTCTTCTGCACATGGTTCACGCAGTCTTCTTTGGTCAGTGGTATGAAGCCGTACACCTCATCTTTGCACAGAGCAAGATAGGTTCGGCTGTCACCATCACATATAATGTTGGTGTAGCGGAGGCCATACCTGCTGACAGAGCGCCTGAAAAGTGTCAGAGCAGCCTCCACTTCCATCTGTCCGAAGCCAACATCAGTATTCTTCTGACATTGATGTTTCTCAGCCCAAGTGACGAAGTTGGGGTCGCTCTCTGCTGGTTGTTGACAACACCCAAGACAGAAGTTGGAAAGGACTGTGCAATCCAGCACAAGCCCCGTGTAAAACTCAATAATACATCCTACCCCAATGTGTGAGCTGTGGCCTCTTGTAAGCCACGTGCCGTCATACACAACTGTGATGTTGTTTGGGCTTGATGGCTGCATCTTACTGTACACGTCTTTTACCGCAAGCACAGCATCTGCAAAGATGTTTTGTGCAGCTTCCTCTGCTCCTGGTTTGAATGTTTTTTTTAGGTGTTCCTGATAGGTTTTTTGATGAATGCCCCGATGAGAGACATTCATTGTAGCCCAGAAGTCATTCAGGGCAGTGGGCCCTTTTCCAATGGACTTGATTGCTTGCATGGCTCTTAGGTTGACTTCAAAAGCCCTTCCTTCGGATTTTCTACTGGATGACCAAGGTGAATGAATAGGGCCACAGGAAGCACACAAAAGTACCAGTTTTACTGCCGGGCCCAATTTTGTCCCATGCTGCACTGACAGTCTTCTTACAACATTTTGGGCAGAGTGCAGGTCCTATTAGGGAATTCATGGCAGAAACCTGAATTAGGGTGAACTCATCCTCTTTTGTTGCCGATGTTTGCTCTGTTTGCTGCGCGAACCCGAACTTCCGCTCCGTTGCCGACATTTCGCGAAGTGCATCGCGGACACTGCTGGCTTGCTTCTCGGCGCCTTCCGAGGACACGAAACGAGGTTCCAGGTGTATTTGAACGGTGCGCTTCCGCTGAGGCAAACGATCGCCGACATCCTGGACAGCTGGCACCACGTCGTCGTCCGCCGCCGCGAAAACGAAACTTTTCTCGCGTTCACACCGCACCGTGATGCCGCGGCTAGTTGATGGCCCCGGGTCTTCAGTGTCACTGCCAGGCGTCGATTCACCGTCACTTTGAACAGCCGGCACCGCATCGTCACCCGCCGCAGCGAAAACGAAACTTCTTTCGCGTTCGGGCCGCACCGCAACGTCGCGGCTAGTTGACGGCCCCGCGTCATAGGCCTCACTGCCGAGCATCGGCAGCGAGCAGGTGTCGGCTTCCGACGACACGTAGCTTGGTGGCGACGCGGTACTCGGTTCGTCTGATTCAATCGCTGCTGACTGCTTCGTTTTCCCAACAGGAGGCTTGCGTTTACGCTTCCCGTAAGCGTACTTCGTCCGGTACTTCGTCCTGCGCTTCCGGTCCACGCGACGATCCATTGCGGGCGCTAAGCCTCGCGCTAGAGAAGAGTTGGCGTATCGGCGACCGTATCGGCGTATCGGCAGGGGATTCGCAAACTATAGTGCGCCAGCGTGTGCGTAGCAGACGTGCGTGCGCGGAGCAGACGACCAGCGCAAGCAAGCGCGTCCCAGCAGCCACTCACAGAGCGCGCTCAGTACCACGTGACAGGAGCGACCAATGGGTGCGCGTCTAAGGCGTCGCGGATGCCTTCGCATTTTTTCTGTTTGTGCGTTTATCTTAGCTCGTAGAGTCGTGGTTTCACCGGGAGAAGTACGGCGGTGAAGCAAGCTTTCCAGTGACACCAAGCTTTCCGCGAGCGGCGGCGAAGGCGCGGAAGTATCGCGCTCAGAAATGGGCCATTTTCGCACAGATTTCAGCCAGCTTTTTGCGATCCGCGGTCAGAAAAACATTTTTTAAGCTTACTTTGAGATCGTTTTCGGCGGAAATATTTTTAGATATGATAGAAATGGTGATGCAGAATCCAAATCTGCCCTTATCCAAAATTCGTTTTTTTGCGAGAATTTCACGATTTTATCCCCGCGTCCCCCCTTAATGGTGTTCAAATTCTATGCAGAAAATTGTGAGTCATCGGAAGAAGAGGATGAAGAAGAAGTAATGTCGATGAACAGTGCCTTTGGCTTGGCGTGCGAGACTGAGGAGCAACGACATGCGCGAGCATCGCGGGATGAGAAACGGGCACGAGCACTCAACCTGCCCTTGTCCAACGCTGAGATTGTGGACCTGCCAATTGATGAGTTCAATGAGCGACTCTCCAAGTACGAGCTGACAGAGGCACAACTGGCGCTGATCAGGGACATTCGTCGGCGCGGCAAGAACAAGGTGGGCAATCGTAGTGCTTTTTCGGCGTGTCGTTGGGTTGCCTTAAATGACACAAAGTTTCAGTGCCAACCCCATGGGTCTTGTAACCTGCTGGCAAAATTTGAGCATACTGGGTGCAGTACAAAGTTTATATTTTAATGTTTTTATTTTGTTGTAGGTGTAGTGTACAGCATAGGGCTTGTGTGACCATGAGTAGTAACAAAATGAACCGACACCTTGAAAGTGGCTACTCCAGGACATGCTTACATTGCATCAAACCGAAAGGCCTCCTGGGGCACATTGAGTGCCCATAAAGGGCTCATATGAAACTCCATATTAAGGGGGGGCGCGGCAAGTAAAGTGCCGATTTTGGTCAAAATATGCGATTTTCTGATTTATTTTTTTTCGTAATCTTCAGACCTTCAACTTCCTTGTTCTAAAATATTACAGCGAAACGTGCGCTACAAATCCCGCAAATAGTGTTTTTGCCGAGGCTAGTCGCCGAAAAGTGCGAAAAAAAAGCCCCTGAAACGGTGTTGTTCACGCCGCACAAACGCGCCAAGTTGTTGACCGTGGGCCGCCATTTTGGTAGCTTTGGAAAGAGGAGAAAGCCGGCTTCCCGATGGTCGCGGTCTCGTATTTCGCCGAGTGAAAATAAAAGCGCGAGGAGCAAGTAAAAAAACGAAAACGAAGAACGGCAATTGGCTGCGCGGGTCACGTGGTAGCAGGCGCGACCTCTTACTGGTCAAAGCTGCGCCGCGCACCTTGGCAACCTTGGAAGCGCGAGCGCATCTGCGGCCGCCGAGTCGAGAATCATCCGGCGTGCGCTTCGTTTTTTGCCAGTTGGCTGTTTTTGTGATAGTTCGCGTGCTTTTTTTACCAAGCTTTGTTTACATCGGTGGTCTCTTCTGAGTGCTTGCTCATACTGCGGTGCTATGTTGTCGCAAAAAAAGTTCCGGAGCGTCCACAAGTACGGCAAGCGTCGGAAAGCTTGGAACAAAGGGCAGACGACTGCGGCTGCCGTCCCAGTCGCAGTTCCGGACGGAGCATGCTCTTCAAGCGTCACGGAGCCTCTACTCAGACCCTTCGCTGATTGTTGTGAGGCCGAGAGTGTGGAAGGTGCCACATCGTCGTATGTCAGACCGCCGGATGCCGTCGACCGTGATGGACGCTCTCGCGAACCCGATTGCGGTGGCACCGCGTCGGCAGCCGTTGCAACTCCGGGCGTGCGCGCGTCGAACATTCTATCGCGAGTTTCGGCCCAGATTCCGAGCAGTGAAGAAATCGCGCAGCGGGCGCAGACAAGGCGGGATGTTTTGGATGCCGTAGCATCGAAATCCGCTTCAAAGCGGAAGCTCGAGCTTCTGAACGAAGGCTGCGACGAAAATGACGGCGGTAAGGACTCCACATTCTTCATTGTAAATAAGAAGATGCTGAACGGTCTGCTTTCGTCAGTAAAGTGCAACAAGTGCGACGAAGGGTCGATACGCCTCGAGACTACGCACTGCCTTGGACTCGCGGCGAGGATGGAACTTTTTTGTGACAATTGTGGCATAGTGAACAGTGCGTGGTCGTCCCCGAGGTGCTCCGGGCAACAAAAAACGAACCCCTTTGAGGTAAACGTGCGTGCTTTGAGGGCTGTGCAGTCAGTTGGCAGAAAACAATCTGCCATAAATGACATTTTTTCTGCGATGGACATTTCGCATCGAGCACTGCACCACAAGTCCTACCAGAGACTGCAAAGGAAGTACAGCCACCCTGCCACCACATCAGCTGCCACCCGCATTGAAGCAGAAAGTGCACAGAAGGTGCATGACATTTACAAGGACCTAGGAGGAGTGCCAGGCAACATTGACGTCATTTACGACGGCACGTGGATGACGAGGGGGCACAGAAGTCATATTGGCGTGGGCTGTGTAATCGAGCTGTACACAGGCTTGGTCTTGGACCACTGTGTCCTGTCCAACTACTGCCAAGGCTGTGCTGTTGGCCCCAAGCCTGGTGACGACAACTATGAGGAGTGGCTTGAGAAACACAAGCCACAGTGCCAAAAGAACACCGATGCTAATGCAGGCCAAATGGAAGTAGAAGCAGCGAGGATCATGTTTGAAAGATCGTTTACCAAGTACAAGCTTCGATACATCAATGTGCTCTGCGACGGTGACAGCCGTACGTACCTTGCCCTCACGCAAGACAAGGTGTATGGCTACATGTTGATTAAGAAACAGGAGTGTGTGAACCATGTGAAAAAAAGAATGGGCACTTCCTTGCGCAACCTTCTTGATGAGCACAAATCCAAAGGCCGAGGACTGAGCATGGGTGGCAAAGGCCGGCTGACGCAGGGCCTTATAAAGAAGTTGACGAATTATTATGGCTGGGCCATTAAGAGCCACCCCAACGATGTTCCTGGCATGGAGAGGGCCATCATGGCCACTTATTACCATGTAACATCCACAGACCAGGATCCACACCACGACCTGTGCCCAAGTGGGACTGACTCCTGGTGCCCGCACAATCAGGCATTGGCCAAGGGAGAGCCGCTGCCGCCTCACAAACATAAACTGCCCCCTCACGTGCGAGTGGCACTGCTGCCAATCTACAAGCGCCTCTCGAACAAAGAGCTCCTTGAAAGGTGTGCGCAGGGAAAAACCCAGAACGCTGTGGAGAGTATGAACAGCCTCATTTGGTCACTCCAGTCCAAGAGCCAGTTCGCCTCCCTTCGAAGTGTGGAAAGTGCAGTTGCAGATGCAGTCTGCCGTTTCAATGGTGGCTGCAAGAGTGCGCTGCAAGAGATCACTGCTCAACTGGGCTTCAATCCAGGAGACTGCTCTTTGCGGCGAGCAGCCGAAAAGGATGCCAAAAGGGTGAAGAGGGCTCAAAAGGCGCATTGTTCCACGACAAAGAAGCGCAAAACTGGGTTGCGCTCTACAGAGGCCAAGGCCACAGCATCTCAGGATTACTGCCCAGGAGGATTCTGAGTGTTTTAGGCATGTTGTGAACTTCCAAACAAGAGTGAACTTTCAAAGTCAGTTTTCTCAACTCTTGATTTTCGCCTATGTGCCTTCGCTAGAACATCTGTCATTTTTTAACAAAGACTGATAGAGTCATTCCGTTTTTTGCACTAGGCTCAGGAGGCCTTTAGCAGTGCAATAAAGCTTTATCTCTCTTCTTACTCATCATTTAAAATTTTTAGAACACATTTTATAATTACTGCGATGTGTGCGCAAAACAACATCCATGTTTTGGAAATTTTATTTATGGTTACAAGAACTAGAAAAATCAACTAATAGCTTCTTTGCACAAGTTGATGCTTTGGGAACATAATAATATGAAAAAATAATTTCATTTAGCAATAATTATCTCTTTAAGTGTGAAGAGCATTAATTAGTATAATTATGCTTGCAACTCAAAAAGTACAAGAGGTATTTGAAAACGGTTTTCATATTTGGAATCCTCACAATCATCCACATACACACACCAAATTTCATCACAAACAGTACATTAATAAAAAAATTAGTTTTACTTGCCACGTCCCCCCTTAACAAGAAAGTGTTTTATGCCAGGGTCCACCAAGACTTCATATGAAACTCCATATTAACAAGAAAGTGTTTTATGCCAGGGTCCACCAAGACTTCACTGACATCATCACGGAAATGACATGAGTAAAATACACATGAGCAGATGACAGAGCAAAATGACAGAGGTGGATGACATGGGAGTTCTCTCTGCAACCTCGTGGTTTGCAGCAATAGGCGTCAGGCACTTTACCCACTGCACTACTGACACACATAAGCAAGGTGCATCTCTCACTTCTTCTCTGCAAGAGAGATGCTAGCAGGAAGTGGAATGCCTCGATGCATTCGCAGCTCACGCTACACTGACACATCGATATAAGGAACCTAAATATAATTAAATATCGGTTTTATTGAAGCAAATTAAGAATAGCTTGCAAAAAATATACTGTTTGGAATATACATTTATAAGGAATACAGTGAAATCTTGATACAACGAATTTCGAGTGACCGCTAAAAATCATTTGTTATTTTGAAAAGTTGTATGAAAGTTGAAAATCTGCACAAAAATCGTAAACGTAAACTCGCGAGTCGCTTTCCTGTGCTGTGTGTACATTAGCAACCATGTTATGCTCTAATAAGCGGAAGAAAAAAAGAACTCAATATTACAGAACCAGTGTATGTTTATTTGAGGAAGAGCATGATCTAAACTGATGTGAGTAGCTCAACTGCTGAAAGAAGAACCATCCTTCTTAGACACTGTGAAGCATCAGCATTAAATACCGATTCTCCACCTTAGCGCGTGCTGGAAACATCGTCAGCGACACTCACGTGCATGCTTTGTTGTCGCACTGTGCGTAGTGTTCGAGCGTTTGTGAAGCATGCACGGGTAGCCATCGGCGACGTCTACCTACAGGTCACTCGCGTCGCATTTTTCACACTCATAGCATTCCTTTTGGGCTGCTTACGGAGCTCCTCTAGAGCGTTCAACCACCAACTAAAAGAAAAACCACTGTGTAACAAGTGCACAGGTAAAGCTCCAGGACGAAAGCAAAGGCGATATATGTACTATATATGTTGTCGTTCACGTTACAACTAAGAAAGAAAGCTTAGAAACACTTGACTGTGGTGCAAAATACTTTTCAGGGGGAAAGAAAGAGGCAGGAAAAAAAAAAAAAGCCGCAGCATATCCACAAAGTGAATGATAACGAGTGGGGTGAAGCTTCAGAGGGTTTTATCGGTAAACTGCGAATTGTCCGTCGATCTGTGTGTTGTTTATCTGTCCGCCCACACCTGCTGATTGAGTCATCGAACTAGCTAGGAGAGACAGACCCAAGGCTTTAGGAGCTTTGCCCCTAAAAAGAAGCGCCAACGCGCTTCACCTCGTCTTCTTTTTTTCTTCCTCGTTTTTTTTTCTGAAAAGTATTTTGCACCATAGTCAAGTGTTTTTAAGCAATGTAAGCACTAACCGCCCTAAATAAAGTCGTCGTTGGTGAGAAAAAAAAGCTTTTACTCACCACGAGGATGCAGCCAAGCGCTTGTGTAGTGCGCAGCCATTGTCGTTTACTCATTTTTCAAACGTGACTGGACACAACGGCGCCGTTTCTCGTGGCTTATAGAAGGTAGCTTATGCCAACTGGAGCTAGGTGAACTGGAGCTATAGTGCCTTTAGGCACTATAGGACAGAAGAGGATATTGAGAAGAAAGTACTCATATGATTCGTCATCATTATGATCTTGGTTATTTACAGAGTAAGTGCAATAAAAAAAGGCCCAAATGGCTGCTTCTTGATGCCAAAGCATATGTCGTGGCTTCATTCAGTTTTTGTTAACCACTTAAAAAATGTCAAGATTTAGTTATGGGGAAGGCAGTGACTATGGTGATGGGGCCTGTCAGCGCAGTTCTATCGTTAAAAGTGAAGGCGCCGTTCACCGTAGTAAAATCGTAACAGTGGCAGGGTCTGTCATAATAGGGATGTAGCTATAGCAACCACCCCGTCATGTTAAAGCAATGACTACGGTGAGGGGACCCGTCACCGTAGTGTAACGGTAAAAATGAGGGGGCCCGCTGCCGTAAATTTGTAGTTTTAGATGCCACTGTCTCTTTTCTGGTGGCGTAGTGGCTTGATACGCTGTTGGGGAAGCGGTCGAGTCGTGACGCAGGTCATCAGTTGAAATTTCCGTTTTCGAAAGGTTTACTTTTTTTTTTTTTTAAGGTAATGCTGCAAGAAAATCATGTCGCTGTCTGCGGCAGTTGATAGACAGCCTTATCATGTGGATTTCATGGTGCAGTGTCATTGGTGTCCGACTTTGATGCGAATCGGGCTCTTTTTATTTTATTTTCTCAGTATTGTTACAAGTATTGTTACTTATTTTTCATCGAAAATCGTGTTCATTTATCGGGGATATAACTATCAATTTTCTTTTATGTCTAACGGGGAATGAAGACCTTTCCCGATGATCTTCGATTGGTACTGCACTGGGCGAACAGATTTTGTTTTATGCGTGCGAATTAACTTTATTATCGCATTGAACAACTACCCTCGACGGAAGTTCCATTCATTTACATTGATACCCTAGCGCCAACCAATAATTTGTTACACAGAATGTGATGTTCCCAAATCAATTTGTTCCACGTATTTTTCGTGTCGTTGTACAAAAGGTGACATATGAGCTGATGCCAAATGTTGTGCAGGTCGACATGAAATGTGTTCCAACCCCAAGGGCTACAATACACATGACTACAAGACATGATGATGTAGCTGCGACTTTGAGCCTACTTCGCGTGAAATCGCACACACAGACTTCTCCTTGTAATCGAATCAGCTCCTTCAAACAAAGGGATGTGCACGTCGCTTTTGTCGCATAAATGAGTGCTATTGCTATGCAAGGAGTAGACAGACATTCAAGCTCTCTACAGTGCAGTAGATACTTGCATGGTGGTGTGCTCTCCATAGCTGTCTTCCCATCATGTGACGATGCTGTCCTGCAGGAGCAAAACGTGTTCCATATCATTCTCGCCGATTAAAGTGCGAGCACGCCGAAGTCGTGGGCGTGAACCGGTCATCTGTATGCTTTAATTTGCAAGTGCTACCTGGTGCGGCTGCAGGCTTTGGTAAACAAGGTGTGACTGAGTAGATGAAATGAATACGCAACTATGAGCATGGATCTATCAGCGCTGAGGCTACTTCGTAATTACATCATTATGGCACTCTATTAATTGCCTCAATGCATTAGTGTCTGTGAACACGCTTTTAATGGTGGGGTGAAAACTCACCCCACCATTAAACTGCAGTACTGCAGTACTGCAAAACTGCAGTACTGCAGTGCATTTTGCAATGGGGAGAGCTCAGACCAGGGTTTTGCAGCAGCTGCCACTCAGCAAGCCAGGTCCGTCAGTGAGAACTTCGACTCATGTGATCGCCAGGTTTGCTATGGCCAGTGGCTATTCCCATCGCTCCACTGTAGGATGCTGTTTAAAATAGGCAACTTTACTCGAAACAATATTGAAAGCAGAAAAAAAAAAAAGAGAGAGAGAGAAAAGATATTTTAGTCAGTGCAACTTGAACTGAAGTGGCACGCCAACAATGCATCACGTTGCACACCAGCAACGTACCCATCCTCGAAAAATCAATGCCGTAGGGCTAACAACCGGAACCAACTGCGACGTAATTTTTTTGCAAAAAAAAAAAAGCAAAATTTTGACTCTTTGAAAGCACTTATGTCAATATTGTTGCATTGCTATAAATAATTAAAAAATAACCAGACATCTGAACTGATGACCAGTGGCACGACTGCATCCCCAAGTGCGCGCTCACCCACTGCGCCACCAGAATAGCTGGGCGATGGTGTCTAAAACGACTACAAATTTACGGCAACGGTAGAGTGTAACGGGCCCCCTTGGTTTTACCATTACACTACGGTGACGGGCCCCCTACTGCTGTCATTGCTTTACGGTGACGGCGGACGTCACTATAGCTGCATCGCTATTATGACGGGCCCCTTCACCGTTACGGTTTCGCTACGCTGCCGGGTCCCCTCACTTGTAATGATAGTGCTGCGTTGATGGGCCTCTTCACTACAGCCACTGCCTATGGGAAAACATGTGTCTGTGTATGTGCATGTGTGTGTAATATGTTATGACGAACATCAACTGCAGTAAATATAACAACTCCAGTTAATTATTTTTATATGATTTAAGAGAAACAAAGCTTGCGTTTTTCTCTTGATTTGTTCTGTTGATGCAATTTTTAGCACACATTTATCCCACATCATTATTTTTGATCAAAGTGAAACATATTTTCTAGAGAATGCTCTCTGATCTCTTTGAAGAGACTCAGTGTGTGGTAGGCTGAGCAGTGCCTGACTTTGAGTTCTCTGACTGATGCCAGGTGGCAGCGCAGAATTGCCGGAAGCGCAAGCTGGACCAGATTCTCTCTCTGCAGCAAGATGTCGAGGCACTGCACCTGGAACGCGAAGAGCTGGAGCGACGGCACGAGGAGCTGCTTGCGCAGCGGCTCTTGGGGCGCGACAAGTACAGCCGCCTGTGTCAGCTGCTGGCCACCCACACCACACGGCCCCTGAGCCCCACCTTGCAGCACTTGACCAGCGTCGAAGCATCTTTAGCCACTTGTGATGGGGCCTGTCACGGGGGTGCACGCCTCAAAAAGAAAGTGCACAGCAAGTGGGAAAGTGACGAGTGAAGTAGCTTGGTGCGGTGGCTAGAAAAGGGCATCCCAGTGAAAGCCATTAGCTCTTGCGCTCCAGAGTGCAACACAAGCGCCCTCAATACGTGGCACGGCAGTAAGCGTCATCCTGTGTTCTCTCTGCATAAAGCTGCACACCGAACTCTTGGCCCAGTGTCATAGAGCTGTCTTTCATAGCTGTACCGAGGAGACACTCGGAGAAGATCTTGCAAGTCCTTTCTGGTGTGCCTCATTCGGAGATGCTTGAGAGTTGCTGCCTTGTCACGATACTCAAATGATGACCGCTGCTGTTGCAAAATTACACTAGCCTATTCAAGCTACCAACTTGGTCACGTGTGCCGCCATGTCTTGTGTGGTGCCCTTGTATGTATCATGGATGGTGGTCTTACTTGGCAGTGAGACACGTGATGAGCTGCGATCGTTTTGCTTGTAGGTGTGGTTTCTGAGAAACATTTGTGCACTCTGCAGGTTGGTCAATGTTTGCAAGTAGTGTATTGAGTCTTCCAGTGAGAACCCCCTCAGCCCTTTTTAGCCACTGCCTCTATGCAAGAAAAAGCAACACTTGTGATTTTGATGACTCTTCTTGCCACGGAGGTTTGCTCAGCGGACAATGGTGAACTGTGTGTGTCTGTGTGCACTGAAAGTGCAAAAGAGGACCAAGTGCAGTCACCGTCTTCATTCTGCGTCTTTTCTGCCCCTTCCAAGGTTTTTTTTTTTTTAACGTCTCAAGTTACTGCCAACTGTTGTAAATGCATTTTTCCTTTCTGGGGTCTCTGTAGGAAACAAAACCTCATTGTTTGGCTTGGCAGTTTTTCACGATGCTAGATTGTTGCACTGTAAATATAAAAGTTTTTTAGCTTTTGCTGTTAAAGAAATAGATTTGTGCCTTCTTAAGTACAGCACACCGGCTAAATCGTCGGAAGAACAACAGCGTGTTCTATTTTAAGTATTGCATCAGTAGCTCGCAAAGAAATGTCGAGTTGGACACACATTGAAGAGAAAACTTGTGCAATGAACTATTTGCGCTACCACGGTCCTCTAAGCTTATGTCTTACTGGATATTTTGTGCTGGTGTGGTTTAACATAGATTATATATTTGCACAAGCTGAATGAATTATTTATTCTGTATGATTCACGTTTTTGTCCTTTGGTTACTACAATCATTCTCTGTTAAGAATGCAGTTTCATTTCCAATAAACTTTGTTGGTTAGTATGAACTTGCAGGCTCTTTAATTTAGCTGTCGCCTGTAGACAGTAAGCAGCCGTTCCACTCTTGCTCCAAACAGTTTCAAGACTGATTATCTGCACAGTCCTGACAAATGTGTTATGATTAGTTTTGGTATTTCAGGACATCGAGCACAGACATGACACAAACAACTCCATAAAGGGGCTGTGTGGACTGGGTGTTTTTTGCTTCAACGCTATGCAGCTGCACTAGAAAGTGTATAGTATGTTCATCCAAATGGCATTGGACCTATAGTTAGCTCCGCAAATTACCAACGAAAGTGGAAATTTACATTTGACGAAGTACCAAGCACCCTCTTGAAACAGTACGTGGAATGGTGCTCAGCATGTACGAAGGTGTTAAAAGAAGGTGTCTTGCCAAAGGACTGGAGATCTGCCCAAATCGAGTCTATTCATGAATTTGGTCATAAAAAAATTTACTCTTAAGTACTGCCCGATATCACTACCCTCAATACCATGTAAAATTTTAGAACATATATATGAAACACATATCCACCTTTCTTCAACACAGTTTCTGATGGGGATATTCTACAGTTACCCAAGTAGTTGGTATTATACATAATTTCAATGCTATATCGTTAAATATCTGGTTTTGCAGAAATGCTGATGTCGGCGTTGTTGGTTGTGAGTGCGACCAAAAAATTATTTTTGCACGATAAATCGAGAAATATGCAAGCAAAATAAATAATAAAAAACGCCAAGTCTTGGGGGAAGGTGCAACACAGTGACAGTGAAAGCTAGAAGAGCGGCCTTTCAGAGCCTTTTCAAATTACTTATTGGGTACCTACTGCAAGCACACTTGCTTGATACCCACTAGGGCATTAATAATAAACTTTTGGGTAGTAGGCCCGCATTCGCTGTGCTATTTTTCGTCATTCTTCTGAAAAGCGTGTTATCCGCTAAACACTTGCCAATTGTTCATGCAGTGGCTGACAACCATGAGGGTTGTAATGGGTTGGAGCATGGAGCATTGGATGGCCCACTCGTTATGCGATTCGCTTTGTGTGACGACTGGTTGTTCTTTCACTGTTCTAAAACGCTTTATAAGTCGTATTCCCGCGATTGCTTTCCTGACAACAAGCCTGCCTTAGACAAGTTTGCCAACAAGTCACAAGCACCAGCGTAGCTCAGTAAATAGAAAGAATACTGGGCTGGCACTCAGCGGACCCGTGTTCGAGCTCCACTGTGTCATTGGTGCTAGGTTTCCCAACAAGTCACAAGCACGGGCATAGCTCAGTGGTAGAATACTGGGCTGGCACCCAGCAATACTGGGTTTCTGAGCCCCACTGTGTCTTTGGTGCTAGTTTTTTTTTTTTTTTTCTAAATTTGCGCGATGTGATTAGGGACATCGGCGGCAGCGGCGGACAACTGTGCGTGACCCGCGTTGTAATCACGTAACAGCTTTCGCTGTAAAAAGTAGAGTTTGAGTTGGGATCGAGCCCAGGTCGTTTGCGTGGCAAGTGGGTAGTCTACCACACAGACATGCCTATGCTTGTGAATACAGTGAAAATAACTTCCTTAGCTTGGAAGTGCAGTGAAAGTAATTTTCATGCTTTACAAACATACGCATCCTGTATACATGCTTCACAATAAAACATGAAATATTGCCATAATAATGCATGGTAAAAGCTTACATTGCCATCGGTTGTAGGAACATTGGATTATTATAATGGCTTCATGGTTTAAAGCCAGTCACCCACTACAAAAGGCACATACCATACAGCACCCTTATCTCTTTCGTTAGTGTGCGAAAATGGTTATTTTTAATATGTCTCATAGTTTTGCCAGTTCTAAAAGTACTCCAGCACGCATTGTGGCACACCAAATTTTGCACAATGAAAAGCTCTTTCCGAGAAAGATATTGTCGCAATGTGCAAAAAACAGGACACAAGGCTTCGTTTCGAGGTTAACAGCAAGACTCTATTTTCTCACAAAAACAAAGCGCAAGAGCAGATGCGCAACGTCGTCTTCCTCGAAAAACGCCAGAGACTGCCACTCGTGATGCTGGCTTCTTCCTCCTCTGTTGAGCTCCCTTTGTTTGTAAGCCTCCCTTTCAAGAAGGCATTGTACCGATGCTTCATCATCATGGCGGCAGCGTTTGTAGTCATTGGCTGCACACTGGTTCATTCGGACAAACAAGGCTTCATCCGAACCACGTGCACAACTTCTGGTGCATGTCTTTGAAATTGAACAATGTCGACTGTCAGGAATCGCCTCATAGTTAACATCACTGAGACGCTGGAGGACTTTTTATGGCCCAAAGTACCGTCTTAAGAGCTTTTCCGAGAGGCCATGACGGCGAACTGGGGTCCAGATCCAAACTTTCGCTCCTGGTCTATAGGAGACTGGTTGGTGACGAAGATTATAGCGCTTTGTGTCATAGTCCTGGTGGTGACGAATATGTACGCGGGCAAGTTGGCGGGCTTATTCAGCAAGCTGAGTTATGTAGTCTGCCTGTGTTTCAACGCCATCACTTTCATGCGGCAACATAGCGTCGAGCATGGTTGTGACATCACGGCCATAGAGAAAGAATGATGTCATGTGTGTTGTCTCTTGCTGTGCCGCCGTATTGTAAGCAAAAGTGACATACGGCAGTATCTCGTCCCAGTTTTTATGTTCCACATCGACCTACATGCAAAGCATATCCGTAAGTGTTTCGTTCAGCCGTTCCGTCAGACCATTTGTTTGTGGATGGTACGCCGTTGTACGCTGGTGAGATGTTCCCCTTAGGCTTAAAATTGTGCATAATAGCTTGGCTGTCAACGCTTTTCCTCGATCAGTTATTACTGCAGATGGAGCGCCATGCTTCAGGACTATATTTTCAATGAAAAACCGGGCTGCTTCACTTGCTGTGCCCCGCTCCAAAGCCTTGGTTTCAGCTTAGCAAGCAAGGTAGTCTGTGGCTAAAATTATCCATTTGCGACCAGCAGCCTTGTAAATGGTCCTAGAAGATCCATTCCGACTTGGGCGAATGGAGTTTCCAGTACATTGATTGGATGAAGGAGCCCTGCTGGTTTGACGGCTGGCACTTTCTTACGTTGGCACTCAAGACAAGTCCGAATGTGCTGTTGAACGGCTGCCATCAGTTTCAGCCAGCAATACTTCTGTCTCACTCGGCATAGCGTTCGTGTGTGGCCTAAATGACCAAATGTCGATTCGTCATGGCACGCCTCTAATACTTCTTTTCTGAGTGGTGTTGGGACGACAAGTAAGTAGGTGTTGCCGCTCGGAGAAAAGTTCACCTTATAAAGAACCTCGTTGCGCAAACAAAACGATGCTACCCCTTTTGTGAAGAGCTTTGGCATAGCAGATGTGCGTCCCTCCAAGAAATCAATAAGGGGTTGCAACTCTGGGGTCATCGCGTTGCTGCTGTGCGATTGTAGACATGTTGACTACACCTGTAAACGCCGCATGGTCATCATCTTCAGCATTTGCGTCTTCTAATGGGGCGCGAGAAAGGCAATCGGCATCTGTATGTCGTTTTCCGATTTATAAACTATAGCGATATCGAATTTTTGAAGCTTGAGGCTCCAGCGTGCCAATCGTCCTGACGGGTCCTTTATGTTCGTCAATCAGCAAAGCGAGTAGTGATCGCTAATGGCTTTAAACGGACGGCCAAACAAATATGGACGAAACTTCATGACCGCCCACACCACGGCAAGACACTCTTTTTCAGTGGTAGAGTAATTCTCCTCTGTACGGGAGAAAGTCCTACTTGCGTAAGCAATTACTTGTTTGGCGCCACCTTGCCACTGAATGAGCACAGCTCCTAAGCCGACATTGCTGGCGTCAGTGTGAACCGCTGTCGGAGCGTCATCGTCAAAGTGTCCAAGAACTGGCGGGTTTTGAAGACGTCGCAGCTTGTTGAATGCTTCCTGCTGCTCTTCACCCCACACAAACGTGACATCTTCTCGGGTGAGTTGTGTGAAAGGTGATGCAATACGCGAAAAATTCTCAATGAAGCGTCGGTAATAGACGCACAGGCCTAAAAATCGCCTCACTACCTTCTTGTCTGATGGCGTGGGAAAACTTGCAACAGCGGCTATTTTGTCTGGGTCAAGCCGGATACCTTCACTGCTGACAAGATGTCCCAAGAAAAGAAGCTCTTCGAAGCCAAAGTGACATTTTTTTGGCTTGAGCGTTAGTCTGGCCGATCATATCGCTTGAAATACTGTGTGTAGTCGCTTCAAGTGCTCGTCAAATGCAGCTGAAAATACAATTGCATCGCCCAAATATACCAGGCACGTTTGCCACTTCAGGCTTGATAGGACTGTGTCCATTAGCCGCTGAAACTTTGCCAGTGCTGAGCACAAGCCAAACGGGTGAGCTTTAAACTCGTAAAGACCATCGGGTGCCACGAATGCGGTTTTTTGTCGATGTCTTTCGTCAACTTCTATTTGCCAATATCCGCTCCATAAATACATCGACGAGAAATACCGTGCATGGCGTAGTCAATCGAGAGAATCGTCTATGCAAGGCAGCGGGTAAACGTCCTTTTTCGTAACCTGATTGAGCTTGCGATAATCAACGCAGAAACGTAAGGTGCCATCTTTTTTTCTTCACCAATACTACCGGCGATGCCCAAGGACTTTTTGACAGCTGAATAACATCATTCTGAAGCATCTTTTGCACCTGACTTTCTGTGGCCTCACGTTCCCCCGGAGCTACTCGGTATGGGTTCTGCCGTATGGGTCTGGCCGTTTCATCCGCAATCATGCGATGTTTCGTCAACGGCATTTGGTGAACTCTTGACGTCGAAGAAGAACAGTCCTGAAACTCATTAATAAGCTCCAGAAGGCTTTGCTTCTGCAGGGGCAGCAAACTTGGGCCAACGTCGACGGATAGAGGGGCTGACTCGGTGACATCGGCTTTCTCCGCAGTCTATCAGCCTGCAACCTCAGTGAGCTCCTCCACGTACGCGACGGCCGCGTCTGCTGCCACCGGGTGGCATGAACTTTTTGAGGGCCAAAAC